TGACAAACAAATCATTCCTAAGCAGTTAAACAACTTCTGTAAATCTAATCAGACATAAAATTTAATGCTTAGATTTTACTTCAAACATGGCAAAAAAACAAGCAAAACATATATAAAACAAAACAATGATAAAATTTTTTACTACAACTGTCAATACAACTTATACAAAAATATCAGTATTATAATTCACTTATTTATCATCTTGTTTCGTTAAAGAAACATATGTGGGTCAACCTATAAATTTCTCACCCCTATTGAGATGAAACACGTTACTATTTTGAATTAAAGCAAAGGTGCTTGGTAGAAGACTCAGATCCATGTCATGGGTGGAGTGATTTTATTTGGTTGAATCCTGAAGATTGGGCCATGGACATCAGTCAAAGATACTCAAGACCAACAGAGGCCCAATCATGGACGGATCTGATGGGTTGGCCTCCATCTTGCTGTAAGCTTCAGTTGATCATGTCATCAGTAATTTCTAAACTCTTGCCTTTTGGCTGGAACTTAATAATATATGTTTTAATTTCTTGCATCTTAGGTCCTTTCTTGGAAATGGCTTGTCTCTTAAATAAATGAAGGAGATTCCATGTCACTAGATTTATGCTCATAAAACAATCCAATTTTATAATTTCTTACATTAAAACCTAGTGTGCTTGTCTCTTGCTCATTTTTCTACAAGGTTGTCTGTCTTTTTCTTATTCATTTGCAGGATTTATTTATACATTCTGGATGTGAGTTCTTTGCCATATATGTCTATTGTAAGTATCTTCTACTCAGTTGAGATCAAGAGTTTGTATCTCTCTTCTGAAACCCTATATACTTGATTGCACACTCAAGATCTCTTCTTAGACGTCAAACTTTATATAGCAAAATAGACCTCTTGTTTCTGGATTCTCCATCTTCCCACTTAACCTACCCTTTCCTGAAACTATCTCCAAATCAGAAGTTGGCACCTTTCTTCATCCAGTTGCCTAGACCCATTCTTTTGAACCCTTTTTTTGTATCATAAAAGACAAATTACATATAGAAAGTACATAAAAATAAACGCATGATTTAACAAATAAAGTAAATACCCATGTAACTACCATCCAAGCCAAGAAATACATTGTCAGCCCTCAAAAGTTTCTTGTAAATCCTTAAAAATAAAATAAATAAAATAAAAAAGATATACACATACACTGTATATATACAGTTGGCCCTTGAAAAGCACAGGTTTGAACTGCACAGGTCCACTTATATGCAGATTTTTTCAGTAAATACTATAAATATATTTTCTCTTCCTTATGATTTTATTAATAACATTTTCTTTTCTCTATCTGACTTTATTGTAAGAATACAGTTTATAATACATATAACATACAAAATATGTTTTAATCGACCATTTATCTTATCAGTAAAGCTTCCAGGCACCAGTAGGCTATTAGTAGTTAAGTTTTGTGTTAGTCAAAAGCAATATACAAATCTTTGACTTCGTGGGGGTCAGTCACCCTTACTCCTGTGCTGTTCAAGAGTCAATTGTATATATAAATATTTTAGTTTTGCCTCTATTTGAACTTTCTACTGATGGAGTCACACCGAATATAATTTTTGGTCTTCATTCTTCCTTTTGTCATTGTTTATAATACTCATCCTGTTGTGTGTTACTATAGTTCATGCATTTTCATTGTTGCATATTATTCCACTAAAATGTACATGCCACATTATTCTCTTGATGGATATTTGGGTTGTTTCCAATTTTCGGGTGTGGATAAACAGAACTTCTGTGCTTCTAAAAATATTCTTATCCATTTTTATGATACTTGAATTTGTTTAAGGTGTGTACCTGGAACTATAATTGCTGGCCACAGAAAAAGCCAAACTCTTTTCCAAAGCGGTTGTAACATTTTTTTTCCTTGAGTCAGTATTGGTAAGCTATAATTTTCTAGGAATTTGTCCTCTTCCCCTAAAATTTCAAATGTATGGGGCATAAAATTTTCCATCATGTTCTTTTTGATGTCTGTAGCATCTGCAGTGATGCCCTCCTTTCATTTTTGGCTATTTTTTGTGCCTGCTAGGTATTATTCTTGGTCAATAGTCTCAGGGCAAAGTGGCTTCCATGATCACTTTCCTCTCTGGGTTCTTATATTTCTTTCCAGCTTGCCCTGGTCATTTTTTATTATCTTGTCAGCTCTTCGTTGCTTTGAAGAAGCTTTTAAAATTTTATTAAGCGTCTTTATTTGTTTTCAGTGGGAGGGCTGGTCTTGAAAACCAAGGCTTCTATTTCTGGAAGTTCATGGTCATTCGAGAGTCCTCACTCTCCCTCATGTCTAGCATGCAGCACAGCCACGGATACAAGTTCCATCAGCTCTGCTTCTAAAACAGCCCCTCCCAAGCCCTACCCACTGCTCTCTAGCTGCCATCCTGCAATATATTTCACAAGTGCTGTCTTGAGTCATTTTTGAGATCTTGGCTAAAAAATCTCAATTCCCATTCATGGGCACTTTGCTAAGCCTACACCCCAACCTCTTCCCTGTCGAACTCTCATGTTCCTGGGTTACAACAACACACCCAACTACCAGAGACCCCGAAACCAAACATATAGGGGTGACCCCTTCTTCCTTGAGCCCACTGGATTGCTGGATTGTTCAAATACCTAACTCACAGGAAGCGGGAAACCTATTAACCCTGCCCTGTTTGCCATACGCAAGCCGCCACCTACATTCCAGCTTGCTGTTACCTTTTCTCAGGATGCAACCCCCTGTGTGGCCCTGCTTGGCAGCCTTCTCTGGTTTGGAGCTGTAAATAACAAAGAGTTTTGCCTTTCATTTATACGGGAGTCACTGTAATTTAAGTCCTGCCATCATCAAAACTTAAACATTAAAACAATAATTCCACCTCCTCACTGCTTCAAATTTTTATCACCTCCAGCCTGGACCCCGCAATACCCGCCCCCCCACTCTCTCCCCACTCTACTTTCCATCCTGTCAGAATGACTTACCAAGCC